TCACACATTTCGTCCGGTTCATAGCCGGCTCGATGCAACGATAAATGGCGCCTGCTTCCCGGACTCCAGCCGTGAATTCGATTTGTTTGGTGGGAGGCAGTCAGCTCATTCGCGGTCGTTTTTATGGCAGATTAGTGCCAATGTTTCTATCATTCTAGGGGATGAAATCACCTTCCGCACCTTCGAGAAGAAGCTATCAAAGGTCTCATGAGCTACTGGTTGCTGCTAGCAGTGTATTACTACTGCGGCCTTGCGAATGTCTGTGTCTTTGCCGGGAGTGAAATACAGAGGTATTTCGCCAAGCTATGCTGCGGCGAACGACGATAGTTTGAAGGGGTATTTGCAAAGTATTTTAAAAATAAAACTTTTATAATTTCAGTTAATTAATCAGGACGTCCTGAATCGCTCTGTTCTGCGCGCTGACCATGTCAGCCGGCTATCCTCTTTCTGCTCACCATTTTACATAAATAGCAGTGTGTGCAGGGGAGGGGAAGGAAGAAAAAAAAAAACACGTCCTCGCGCCAGCCCAGTCGTTTCCCCTCATTTTTGTTTAGCTACAAGTGCTGTTCTCTTTTTATTCAGGTCAGCATTTCAGGTTCACAAGTCGATTTAACTTAACAAATTAGTTATTTAACTGAACAACTTAACGATTTATATAAATGATAAAACTTTGTCGCAACCGTTGTGCTGGTGAGGCCCACTTGCTGCACTAGATAAGACGTATATAACTTAGTGGACAGAAACGTCTTTATCCTAGCCATCACTATTTATATGTGCATGTATTTATTTACTTATAAATACTCATATACTTAAATAAATTGTTTTGGCTTCTTATCTGTAATATCTCACGTTTTCTGCTTGTGTATTTCTTTTACTTTGCTTTTAATAACTTTCCCATATCTACTAATCAGAACAGATGTTTGTTGCTAAGCGGAGTTAAGAGAGATCATCTCGGAAATGTAGTGTGTAAGAGCGACGAATTTTAAAGATTTAACTTGACTTGATACAAAGTAGATAAGAACGATAGTAAATTTGCAGCTTTTAAGTTTCATCATATTTCAAAGACGCAGAATAATGAGCTTAACCTGAAATTTCGGGTCAGAGACAAAAGACTTAAACTCCATTTTGATTTTCATATCGAGACTGGATCAGTGACTACCCTTACATAAAATTTAGCCCCATAGATTTACTGGCTTCCAAAAACTAGAAACTATAACTTTTAATGTATTGAAGCAGTAGTTCGAGATCCAGTACAGTGAGAGGGTTGGTGCCGGGATTCTGTGATACTGCAGGGCCATGGTTAACTTTCCTGTTCTCCGAGATAAAAGAACACTAAACATGCACAAAACACACATTAGATAAATATATGTTTGCGTTTTAAAAACATTAGGGCATGTGGGCTGATTTTGGAGCATTTGGCTCATCTTACGCAATCATGCGAAGTCTCAAACTTTGTTTCGTCTTGAAATTACCAAACCAGTTCAAGTTAAGACTGGGGTCGTAGGCAGAGGAGCGGTGCGCTTGGTATCTGATCTCAGTTTATTATGCCTGAATTATTTTAGCATATTTAGGGAGTCCTTGAGTTATAAAATTAGCCTGAACAAAGGTTTCGACTCACAGGCTGGGTTTTGGAAGGAGAGAGAAAGGGAAAAAGCGAGGTAAAAGGCTCCAGATTTTTACCTCTTTTTCTGGAGCCTTTTACCTCTGCACGCTATAGCGCTGCTACAGCCAGCAAAAACGCATACTGTCGAGAGGCTGTCTGTGTGTATGTGTGAGTGTGTGTGTGTGTGTGTGTTCGGAAAGCGAGTGCATTTTGTCACCCACTTTCATCTCAGCAACCAGGAAACGTGTGTGTGTGTGTTCGCAAAGCGAGTGCATTTTGTCACCCACTTTCAACTCGACAACCAGGAAAGTGCGCTGAAACTTCGGATATATGTTCCTACCCCGTGTGTCATCCTCCCGTTTTAAGATCTTCCCCCATAGCCTGAAACTTCGGATATATGTTCCTACCCCGTGTGTCATCCTCCCGTTTTAAGATCTTCCCCCATACGCGCCTAAACCCCGCGCACGAGACCCCCAAAGGAATTTGTTGGCGGGAAATCGTTTCGCGAACCAGGCAACGTATAACCCCGCGCACGAGACCCCCAAAGGAATTAGTAGGTGAAAAACTGTTTCGCGAACCAGGCAACGTAGTACGGGACCTCCAAAGAAATATGTTGGCGAGAAACAATTTCGCGAGCCAGGCAACGTAGAAAGCTGAAACTTTGCAGGGATATTCTCTATGCACGTGCGAGA